TTCGGTAACAGAAGCGGTGCCAGTGGTCATGTGGCTTTTTGCCGAGATTCCGCCACTCGGCACGGTGGCTGTACGGGGCTGTGTGGGCGGTGGGGGGGTGATGGTGTCACTGACTTGATTGCGTCTGCGCGGCTTTGTGTCGGCGGCTGTACTGTGGTGGGGATTGTGTATGACCGGATTGCCTCTGCGTGCCACTGTGTTTGGAAACTGTTGTTGCTGCCTTTTATTTTTTTTTTGAGCGTGCAGTTAGAGATACTTTTGCTTTACCAGCACAACTATCGTTTCAAGGTGTTAGGGATTAATTGCAGTATTAGGATTAGCAGTGTTATTATAACGATCTGGCGGAATTGTGTCACTGGATTCGCCATCTGTAGAAAGGGATTTGCTAGACAGGAGTTATGGTCGACGGTGCAAGTGAGACACGCCACGACAGCCCTGCTGATACGTGTCTGGGTCGGTGGATGCGGTCTTCGGTGGGTGCGTGTCCGCGCAGCCGGCACCGTGTGCGGAGCAGGGCCATTGCGGCTGTGCGTGCGGCGCTTCTTTTGGTGTTGGTGCTGGTTGCGGCGGCATGGATGCCCGCGGTGCATGCGGTGGTGTTGCGACTGCGGGGCGGCACGGTGGACAGAGCCATCACGGTTGGCCGTGCCGTGGACACGGTGCTGATGGACGGCGTTTCCATCACGAACGGCGTGGCTGTGGTGTTCGACGTTGCGGCGATGCTTCCCGGTCCGCTGCGCATCGAATTGAGGAACTGCGTGTGCGACGGCGGTGCGCAGATCTACGTGCGGGGCTACAGCGGCGAGCCGGCGAGTGACCGGAGCCTGGAGGTGAGCGTGAGCGGGCTGTCCGGCGAATACTGCTCGCTTGTGTTTGTGCACAAACTGCCGGCACACACGAACGTGACGGTCCGTGACTCGACGATTGTGACGGCGGGGCCGATGCGCTACTCGCAGCTGAGCGGGCTGACGGACGCGGTGGCTTCGCCGCTTGTGCTGCACGCGACTTCGCTGTTGCAGACGCAGCTGCGTGTGAGCAACACTGTGCTGAGGTCGTCGCACGTGGGCGGGTCGGCGGTGTACGTTGGCGGCGGTGTACGTTGGCGGCGGTGTGGACCTGCTGTCGAGCGCGGTGGTGCTTGACGGCGTGTCGCTGGAGGCGTCGGGCGGTCCGACCGCGTCCGCGATGCATGTGGCGTCTTCGTCGTGCCTCAGTTTGCGGAGCCACTCGGTGCTCTCCGTGACGAACGTGTCGGTTGTGAGCAGCGGCGGCGGCATTGTGCTTGGAGAGCACCTTGCGGTGCTTGATTCGGTGCTGCGCTTCGTGCGCGTCGAGGGGTCTGTTGCGTCGTCGCTGGTGCGCTGCGACGGTGGGACGGTCGGTGGCGGCGGGTGGATGGACCTGCACGGCGTGTGGGCGGTGGGCGAGGCGTCGTCGGTGGCATCGCTGTCGGGGGTGACGCTGAGCGGCGGCACCGTGTCGATTGCGCGCTGCGCTGCCACCGGCGCGACGCTTGTCTCCGGGCTGGCGATCACGAGCGGCGTCGTGTCGGTGCAATGCAACCGTGTCGGCGGCCGGGTGCTGCGGAGCAGCGGCGACTACCGCATGGCCGGCCTGTCCTCCGTGAGCGTGTTGCCGTGCGACGGCTGTGCGGCCGCGTTGGCATGCTTTGATGCGCTGACTGCGTCGTTCCCCGACTGCGTGTGCAGCTGCCGTGCCGGCGGCGTGGGCGAGGCGTGCCTGCCGTTCGACGTGCCGCCTGCGAGGGCCAGTGGCGGTGCGCAGGACTGCGTGAGTGGTGTGACGCTGACGGAGTCGGTGACGGTTGGCGGCGGGCGTGCGACGGCGTGCTTCGACTCGGTGGTGTTCAGCGGACCGGTCATTGTGACGGTGGACCTGCGCTCGATGGACGCGTTCGCTGACGCGCTGAACGTGACGCTGCGCGACTGCGTGCTTGCGGGCGGCGCGCAGCTGCGGATTGGTGGCCTCAGCGAGAGCACGGCGCGCCTGATGCCGCACGCCCTCGTCAACATGACGAATGTGACGTCGGTGGAGGGCACGATTGTGCTGCATGGCGCGATGCCGCTGCACTCGAGTGTGCTGCTGGCGAACTCAACGCTGCGCGCGACGGTTGGCGGGTCGCAGTACGTGCCGGCGACCCGTGGACACGAGGGATCCCGGTACGGCCCCGCGCTTGTGCTGGACGGCGTCCGGCTTCTGTCGACGTGTTTTGTCATGACGCGGTCGACGCTGGTGTGTGGCGGCTGTTCGTGCGCTGCGATCCTCGTGGAGCGCGGCCTTGGCGTGAACCTGTCCAGCGTCTTATACATGGACAACTGCGTTATTAGGTCGCGGACGCACGTGATGTACGCTCTTGCGTCGGACCTGCGTGTTGGTAGCGGCTCCGTGTTCTCCATACAGAACAGCTCGTGGAGTGCGCCGAGCACCGAATACGACAAAGGCGCGTGTGTGTTCAAGGATGTTGTTGTGGATGGCGGCAGCGTGCTGCAGATTGTGTCCAGCACTTTCCGTCTCGGCTTCGCCATGCTGATGGCAGCCGCGTTGACCGTGACTGACGGCAGCTGGCTGGTGCACCGCAACAACGAGTTCTGCACCGCCTACGTTGTGTACGTGGCTGCCCACTACGGCATGGTGTTCCGCGATCAGAGTGTGTGGTCGATACTTGACAACAACTTCACGTACGGCTCGTACTCGACCTTTACCTGTATGATAACCAAGTGGTCACCACCATCCGACACGCGCCCGACCATCTACGGTGTGTGCAACGAGGCAATGGGCTCTCCTGTGACGGATTACCAAGACGACCTCAATATTTGGGCGCCCGTGACGGTGTTGGACTGTGGGGTGTGCATCGTGGACGCCGTGTGCTTTGCAGCGAGGACGAGCAGCATCAGCGGCTGTGAGTGCG